GAAGGGTGAACCTCAGAAGTAACTTCACTACTGAGCTAAAAGGGTGTCCAGGGGCAGATTCCACATTCTTAACAAGCTCCCAGGTAATGCCATTGCTGTGTCATGAGTCATGGGCCACAGTTATAGTAGCAAGGATCAAAGGGACAACACTGGCCGGAGTTGTGCAGGGTATCTTAATTAGGCAGCAGGATGTGGCCATTAACCCTGAAAGAGTAGAGAATTGCTTTCGTCGATGCCGAGAGACACTGAGTCACTCTAACCAAAAGCCAACATATTCATTTTATAGAACGAAATATAACTGCACACAGACTAGAACACTAGCACTTCTTGTAGCATTTCACTCCACTACCTTAAGCTAATCCCCCTTTGATAAAGTATAAAGATGGCATTTCTGGACATGCAAAGCTTAATGATCAGGCCCTGGACTGTGGCAATGCCATCAAAGTAATGCTACTCTGTGGGCCTAAGTGACCAGCTGACACTACTAAGTGTGTGACATCTTGATCAGCTATATCTACTTATAACAAGCAGAAAGTGAACCCTGTAGAAACAGAGCAAGTGTTGAAAAACACAAGGTGTTATGGACTGAATTACGTCCCCCCAAAATATGTGTTGTAAATCCTAACCTCTATGCCTGTGGTCATAATCCCACTTGGGAATGGGTTGTCTTTGTTATGTTAACAAGGCAGGATTTGTGTGGGGTGTATCTTGAGTCAATCTCTTCTGAGATATAAAAGAGATGAAACAAGCAAGCTAGGAAAGGAGGCAGGGAGAGCGGAGCCACATGAAGATCACCTGGAGCAGAGGCTCAAAAGAGACAACGACCTTCCTCCAGAGCCAACAGAGAAAAAAAGCCTTCCCCTAGAGCCAGCATCCTGAATTCAGACTTCTAGCCTTCTAAACTGTGAGAAAATAAATGTCTGTTTGTTAAAGTCACCCATTTGTGGTGTTTCTGTTATTGCAGCAATAGATAACAAAGACAGAATTTTAGCAGCACTAGATAATAAGACACAAGGGAAGTGAAATCTAAAAATAAATATACAACAACTTACGCTTTCTTTGTTTTGTTCTTAGGGATAATAACCTAATGATCAGCCACCAAAAGAATGGTAAATCCATGAGGGTAGTGGTCTGTCTTCTGATCACAGCACCCCTAGAGCCCAGAAATACCTCTGACCTACAGTAGGCACCCAATAAATATTGAGTGCATGAACAAATAAGTACTTCAGCAGAGTGGGAGTTAATTTCTTTGGTATTTAAATCTTAGTACCAAGGATTCCTGGGAGCTATAGAGAACTATCCTTAATGATTTCAACATAGGTCAGGCTAGGCAGGCTGTAAACATTTGATGTCCTGAAAACAAGGAACATCTCTCTCTAGCCTTTAACTTATTCAAGCAGTAAGAGTTACAGACTACTTTTGCATTCCTACACAGAACTTCCTTTTCTCTAAAAACAGACCGTAGAGCCTTAACCACAAGAAGAGAAACTGCTAAATGTTGGCAGTTGTTTTTGACAGAATAACTTAGAAGATTTGTATTCTTCTTCCTTTTTAAACTTTCACAGACATGATTTCTTTTTAAATTGTGGTGAAAATATATATCACAAAACATTTGCCATTTGAAACATTTTTACATGTACAATTCAGAAATATTAATATGTTCACCATGTTGTGCAAACTATCACCCCTAGACATAATTTCTTAACATGAAATAAACCTCATGAGAGCTTTTTAAAGGGTAAGAAACAAAAGCAAAGATAAAATGTATGCCAAGGGTTCCCCAAAAGGCTAAATACAGAGTTACCACTTGACCTAGCAATTCTACTCCTTGGTACAGGTAGTACTGGACTTATGATGGGGTTCCATTCTGATGCCAAGTCAAATACCTCTTTTTTTTTTTCTTTGTAGTTTTCATAACTATTGCCTTTTTAAAATCTGTATCTTTATAAATCCAATCTTCGTCTCTGAACATTTGAGAATGATAACATCAGCCAATTACACACTGCAATGCTGTATGCAGTACACATTACTAATGATAAGATGTACCAAAAAAAAACCCAGAGAGTCGTAAGTACAGTTCGTCATAACTTGAATATGTTGTAAGTCAGGGACTACCTGTATATACCCCAAGAGAACTGCAAACATATGTCTACATGAAAACCTGCACATGAATGTTCACAGCAGCATTATTCATAATAGCCAAAAAATGTAAACAACCCAAATGCCTATCAACTGATAAACGGATAAATAAAAGGCGGTATATTCACACATTGGAATATTACCCAAGCATAAAAAGGAATGAAGTACCGATATATGCTATAATACAGACGAACCTTGAAACATCACGCTAAATGCAAGGAGCTAGACACAAAAAACCACACATTATATGATTGCATCTATATGAAATGTCCAGAATAGGTAAATACATAGAGACAAAGATTAGTGGTTGCTGGGAGGGGTGACTGCTAATGGGTAAAGGGTTTCTTTTTGGGATGATGAAAATGCTCTGGAATTAGAGAGTGGTGATGAGTGCACAGCCTTATGAATATACAAAAACCACTGAACTGTACATTTTTAAAGCATGAATTTTATGCTATGTGAATTATATCTCAACACAGAAAAAGTGACAAAACGAAACAAAATCAGCTAGTAAAAAATATACACAAACAAATGTGGAGCATCCCTTCCTCTCTGCTCTTCTCTCTCTTCTCCTAGGCAAAATCGCTGACCAAAAAGCCATCACATTTACGTAGTTTTCTGAAAATGGCTGGAACTCTAAAAATATCCTAACCACTAGACAAAAGCAGCTGCTTATTTTGATAACATTTTTGTAACACAGACCTTCCTTAAAATGCAGTTGACAGAGGGCTTATTCTACAAACGCAAACATGTACAATCCACTAGAATTAGCTTTGAGGAGAGACTGCTGTAACTGGCACTGGCACAGAACACATTACAGTTTCACAAAAGAGAACTTCTCTATTACTCAGTCCAGTCAGAAGGCAATGTCATCATGAACCTAACTGTGATGGATGGTCTCTTAGTGTTTTCTGTCTCAAGCCCAAGAAGACAACGGACCTCAAAAACAAACAATAACAAAAAACAATCTGTATTAAACTACATTAAATTATAGGAAAGTATGTCCTGTATTTAAATTATGGGATATAAACTGTAAAAGAATATGGGTTTGGAAATTGCATGCTACACCATCTAAGAAGAGAGCACACTAAATTTTTTAAAAAATGCATTAAATATCACACATGAAGTTAATAAGCACTACTCCCAGGTACTAACCTCATCCATTTAGTGCCAACTCCACTGTTGAATAACTGCGAACTTAAACAACAGTCATGCTCATATAAAACATATCTTAACTGACTTAAACATTAGTCATATAAAAAATAAAAACAAAAACCCTTTACCATGGAGTCGATTTCAACTCATAGCGACCTTACAGGACAGAGAACTGCCCCCATAGGATTTCCAAGGAGTGGCTGGTGGATTTGAATTGCCGACCTTTTGGTTAGCAGCCGAGCTCTTTACCACTACACGACCAGGGTTCCTATAAGATATCTTAACTGGCTTAAACATGAGTCATATAGTAAGAGGTATTTTAATCTTCCTCTTTTTAACAACACTCTAGATTTAGAACCTCTCTTTCATAATAGCAGAATGTAGATGTTTTCAAATGAAAATCGAGGTGAGTAAATTTTAAGGCCTTGAAAAGCATTCACCACATCAGGATAAGCATCTCTAGATTGTGTTCCCAGTTTTGCTACTAAAATATGAATGATGCCTGGCCTATACCAGCTCTACAAGAATGCTGGATGATAGGTGTTTTGTTGTTGTTGTTGCTGTTGTTTTAAAATATATAAAAGCCAAAGCATGGTGAGTATCCCTAATAATGAGAGTATCCAAAGCCAATTATTACAACACAATTCTACCAACTGTACGTATTCAAATTCACTGAAACATGGAAGTTACTAGGATGACAGTATAGATGAATATCAAGGGTGACCTAGAGAAATTCAGATGGAACAGTACTCACTTAAAAAGTATTTATTAAGCATCTATGTTAACAGTAGCCTGTCCTATCACACACTGGCAGTGGGTTATAATCTTTTTCTGTAAATGTTTAAGGGTGTCGAGAAACCACGTGGCTTTTCTGTATCTTTGATAACCCTGTCCCAATGGAACAGATAACTGTGCCACTTGAAAGTATATTTAGCGTCTCCTTTCACCACTAGTCTCTTTACATCCGTTTTTCCATCTTTCTGCACCTCTGTATTCGCTCCATCAAACACTTCGTTTTCCTTCTTCTGCTCTTCCAACACAGTTTCACCTTCACTTTGAATTCTAAACCATCTGGAATGGGATTATTCTAAATTTTTACAAAAATGCATTCAAGATCACATGAGATATTATTAAGTACTACTTTCAGACACTAACCCCATTCATTCAGTGTTAACACTGTTTCTCAACACCTACCTTTCCCTCTCTTTAAACTTTCCCTTCCAATATCCATTCTGTCTCCAGCTTTAGCTCTCCTCAAGTCATATGCCCCACATTTTCCTCAGGCTTTCTAAAAGCAATCCCCATTCCCACGGCAAGTTTTCCCAAATAATGTCCACCTCCCCCAACTCTCTTCATTCATCACTGCCCTCTGTGAGTCCCTCGGATTTCGCTCTGGCCCCTTACTCTCCTCAACCTCGGACCCCACCCCTATTTCCATCACTGCACCACATAGCGTAGGGAACGCCCCTCACCCTCCCCTTAGATCCCCGAAACTTGTCCCTTTCCCTAAGACCTCCCCAGCACCCCCCTCCCGCCCCCACACCCCCAGACCTACTAGGTCTCGTTTAACCTTTAGAGCTCCTCTGCTTCTCCCCTCAGTCTTTGGACACTCCCACCCCTCGAAGTCCTCATTCCCTCGTCCACCCTCTCCGCACCCAACGCCCTCACCGGGGCCCGCAGCGCCCCTTCGGGCGCGGCCCGCCGACCTGCCTCCGCGCCTCCCGCAGCCCCTGCAGCCTCTGGCCCAGCTCGCGCCGGTAGCTCTGCGCCGCCTCCACGTTCTCGCGGGCCTCCTGCAGCAGCAACTCGGGCTCCGGCTCCATCCTCCGCCTAGTCCCGCCGCGCGGCCGGCGGCTCCGGGCGCGGACTCCTGACTGTCCCGGCCGCTGCGGAGCGGCCCGGCACGGCCTCTCGCAGGCGGAAGGGCTGCCACGCCCCGCCCCGCCGCTGTCTTGATTGACGTCTCGCTCTCTCGGCTCCCAGCCACACGGACTTTACAGGCCGAGTCTCTGTCCCCGGTGAGCCCGCATGGTGGTTCCTCGGGAAATACGTGGCGGCGTGGAAGGATTGATAACACTCTGCTAAGTGCTTTCCTCATCTAGTCTCACTCTTGCCTCACTAACAATCCTATTTGTATCTCTATTTCACAGATAAGGAAACTGACAAAGTGGTGAATCAACTTTCCCCAAAAAAACCCATTGCCGTCCAGTCGATTCTGACTTACAGCGACCCCATAGGAGAGGGTAGAACTGCCCTGCTAAGTAAATGACCTCGACACTTGCAACTAGAAAAGTTTTGAAAAGGGAAGTCTTTCTGGAGAAAATGGATATTAGCTTTATCCTTAAGATAAGGTACTCTGGCACGTGGGTACTCAACAAGTATCTGTAGGTATTCATTAAGGTATTAATAACTAAATATGAATTAAGGTATTAACTCAATAAAAAGGAATGGAGAAAGGCACTCTACGTAGGACATGAATTGAGTGAGGGTATAAGGAGCTGAAGATGGAAATATAAATGGATTGTTTGAGAAAGGAGTACACCAGTTTGGCTGAAAAGGTAGAACCGAATTAGAAGATGAAGTTAAGAGAGAAGGGCCATGGAGTTAAGGTTAAAATTTTTTTACTTTAATGAGTAGACATTAAAATATTTTTGCAAGTGCAGTGACATTTGCAAAATAATGTTTTAAGAAGGTAAATGATGGAGAGGTGGGACTTGGGTTTGTCTTAAGGTAGAACTTGGAATATAGTAAATCCTCAGTAAATATACATTCAGTGAAATGAATATATATGTAGGATATGTTGCAGGGGGTTGGGGGAAGAGACAATTAAGGAAAAACCATATGGCATTAGTCCTTGTGTGATATGATAGAGGCTTGAATTAGGATAGTGGCCTTCTTACAGAGGTTTGACAGTAGAAAGAGGGGAAAAGATAGTCAAATGGTTCAAGGGAATAGGAGAGCATAGGTACCATTTGAACAGTGTAAAACAGAACTTATTAAATGTTCTTAAACATAGTATGTTCTGTGTACTCTATAAGGCTAACTGAACAGAATTAGACCCCACCCCTGAGGGCTTTGCTATGTGAAGTACTGCACTCGATCTTAGCCAAAGGGCCAAGAGTGATACTAGGTGGAAAAAAATTAAAAGGAAAACTTGCATAAAAACTATCCTTAGTCTCATTCCACTTTATTTCCTTAGCTTACTAACTGATAACCCATTGCCATCAAGTTGATTCTGACTGATACTGATCCTATAGGACAGAGTAGAACTGCCCCATAGAGTTTCCAAGGAGTACTTGGTAGATTTGAACTGCGGACCTTTTGGTTAGCAGCTGTAGCTCTTAACCACTACACCACCAGGGTTTCCTACTAACTGATAGGAGGCAGGAAATATGTATCTAATGTATCCATATTGTACAAAAAGATAATACAAAGAAAACTGAAGGAAATCTTCTGAAACTACTCCCCACATTTGAAAAATTTGGATGCACTATTTTTAGCTTTAGAGTAGAAGTTCCTAAAGAGTAAATACTCTTAGGAATAATAGAGAGGAAGATGATCCAGAGTTATCATCTCTCTGACCAGAACTGACCTTTGAAGTGTAGCCAGAGGTGAGCAGATTCGGGGGGGGGGGGGCAGACTCAGGCTAATAAGACTCACAAAGAACAGAAAATAACAAATGTTGGCAAAGATGAGGGGAAATTTGAACCCTTATCCATTGCTGGTGGAAATACAGAATGGTACGGCAGCTGTGGAAAACAGTGCGGTGGTTCCTCAAAAAACTAAAAGTAGAACTACTATATGACCCAGCAATTCCACTCCTAGGTGTAGACCCAAAAGACTTGAAAGCAGAGACTTGTACACCAATGTTCACTGCAGTACTATTCACAATAGCCAAAAGGTGGAAACAAACTAAATGCCCACCAACAGATGAATGTATAAACAAAATGTGGTACATAAATACAATGGAATACTACTTAGCCAGTAGGATAAATGGAGTCTTGATACATGCTACAATATGGAAGGAACTTGAAGACAATATGCTAAGTGAAAAAGTCAATCACAAAAGGACAAATATTGTATGACCTCACTGAAATAAAAAATCAAGAAAAGACAAAAAAAAACTCATAAAGAAATGAAGGTATAAGCAATTTGCCAATTTATTTATTTACAATGAGAATATAATTGCTGAGCAAATCACAACAGCTGGAAAATAAAGGGAGCTGCTTGGTAACCATGGATTCAGTCCAGAATACTTTGGTCATTCTAGTTAAAAAGGACACATACCAAAGCACAGGAAAATGAACTTTCAGAACACCAAGGATGGAGAGAAGATTCTAATAGCTCTCATTAAAGAAGAGAGTCAAAATGGCATACGACTTGTCCAGAGCAATGCTGGTTACAAGAGAAGAGTGGAGTAGGCATTCACGCAAGTAAACTAGCTAGAATGTAGAGACAGTCTCAGATATGCAAGGACTTAAAACTTCGCCTCCATCTCTTCTTTCTTAAGAAGCCCTGGTGATGCAGTGCTTAAGCAGCTTGTCTGCTAACTGAAAGGTTGGTGGTTCAAACCTACCAGCCACTCTGTGGAAGAAAGATGTGGCAGTCTGCTTCTGTAAAGATTTGCAGCCTTGGGAACCCTATGGGTCAGTTCTACTGTGTCCTGTAGGGTCACTATGAGTCAGAATTGACTCCAAGGCAATGGTTTGTTCTTTCTTATGAAGTTACTGCAGGAAAAGCTTCACCAAAATAAAGGAATTAAAAAAAAAAAAAAAAAAAAGAAGATATGAGCTCCCCAAGTACAGGTGAATAACTATTCAGGGAGTTTCCTGAATACGCTCTTTGCTGCAAATGCAGAGATCAACTAATCCAGAGTGGACTAGGAGGCAGTGAGACGAAGTTCTCTGAGAAAAAAACAGAACCTATAGATTATCTGATGTATTTGAACATCTGAAAACTTTTTCTAGACATTGGACTGATTTCTTTAAATATTTTTAAAAAAGTTAACTATCAGCTAGGTTGATGTTTAGTAGGTATGCCATACTGGTTAGTTGGCAAGTAGTCATGATTTGAGCCCCCTGACACATTCTCCCAGACCCACAGCCTACCCAGGATCCAGAAACTACTGGGTTAATGTCTGTCATAACAGGGGCCCTCTAGACATTTTTCCAGCCCTAAGTGCCAGAATTTGTTTTGGTTCTGTCTTAGGCTGGGTTCTCTAGGGAAGCAAAACCAGTGAAGCATGTATGTGTATATAGAAAGAGATTTATATTAAGGAAATGGCTCAGGCGGTTGTAGAGGCTAGAACACCCCAAGTCCATGAGTCAGGCTGGAGGATTCTCCTGATTCACATAGCCACAGGGGCTAGCAAACCCAAGATCGGCAAGTCAGACAGCAGGCTCTGGCTTGCAGGCCACAAAGACCAAAGAATCCCAAGATCAGCAGGCAAGATGGCAGGTAAGCTTCTAGTTCAATTCCCAAGAACTGGAGGTCAGACAAACAGGAGCCAGCTGCAGGATCCAGAGTGGACAAAAGCCTACGAGCCTTGTCAGAAAGTCCACATATGTTGGATGCAGGCCACACCCTCAAGGAAACTCCCTTTCAAATGATTGGCTACTCACAGCAGATCCCATCATTGAGGTGATCACATTATATCCGATCTCATCATGGAGGTGATCACATCATTATACGACTGCCGAACTACATCATAACTGCCAGACCACTGAGAATCCTGGCCCACCCAAGTTGACACACAGCCTTAACGATCTAACGATCACAGATTCTTTGGTGCTCTGACTTACCTGGTGCTCTGACCTACCTATTGTTGACTGTTTTGACCCTTGGCAATAGGTAATAAGTACATAAAAACAAAGCAAATAGAAAAAAAAAGAAGCAAGTATTAATTCCAGGAAAAGCAACAACATTGGAAGGGAAAGTAAACCACTTGGTTCAGTAGTATACAATATTTACACAGTCATAAAAATGTAACATTAATGATTTAACAAATTGTGATGTAACTATATTGGAGGGTGGAAGAGGAGGAAGTGTAGAGGATGGTATTATAAGAGAGTTAAATCCTCAAGCACTATAACAAGACATTAACCAATACTGTTTAAAATTGTTAAATTAAGTAATAGCTATACAAGCATATTACAGTATTTAAAAATAAAGAGATATACTGCTAAAAGAGTTGAAAATGGCTGCCTCTAGGAAATAGACTTAGGGTATGAAATAGAGATAAATTGTCTTTTTTAATAAATTAAAATTTTTAATGCTCTTTGATGTTTTTAACCAAGTGCAAGCATTACTTTAATAAAAAATAATATTGAAAAAAGTAGGGGTTACCCAGGTGGGGAAGATATTCTAGGTATATTATAAATTCTAAATGGCTATATGAACATGATAGATCATTTAATTTAAAATTAACAAATGCCAGGAGCTCCTGATTAAGGGTTGTATAAAATACTAACTACATATATAAAAATAAACTCAGTACAAATGCTTAATAATTCAGAAGAATAAAAAGCACTAGAGATCCAAGGCACAACAATTGGTCTCTATTTGCCTGGAGCAACAGAGGAAGGAGAGTCAGGAATAGAAAGAGGAAATTGACGTGTGGCTAATTGCCTCCATGAACAACTGCCATCTCTGCCATGAGACCAGAAGAACTGGATGGTGCCCGGCTATCATTACTAAACATTTTGATCAAAGATTCTATAGAAGATTCCTGATCAACAGGAGGGAAATGCAGAACAGAATTTCAAATTCTCATGGAATCCATACTTTCTGGAGCCATGGAGGCTGGATGAACCCCTGAAACTACTGTCCTGAGATAATCTTTAAAACATAAACCAAAACCAAAAATAGCCCCTGAAGTTTTCTTAAAACCAAACAACGGTTTAGCATAACTAGTAAAGAATGTCTGCTTGAGCATTATGCTCTTTTAAGATCTAGCTGTATCGGATCAAACTGACAACAGCAACTGGAAAAGTCAGATAGGAAGCTTAGGGGGCAGTGAGTTTGTTTTAATGGGGGAGGAACAACTCAGAAAAGGAGAGTAAGAATGGTTGCACAACTCAAAGGATGTAATCAATGTCACAGAATTGTACATATAGAAACTGTTGAATTAGTGTATGTTTTGCTGTGAATATTCTCAACAACAAAAAATAAAATAAATTATATATTAAAAAAAAAGCACTACAGACATACCTTATAACTGAGCAATTTCACTTCTAGATGTCTATCCTAGAGAATCATTGCATGTGTTCAAGGAGACATGGGCAAGAATGTTTGAATAACAGAAAATTGGACACAACATAAATATTCATCACTAAGGAAACAGATAAATAAAATGTAGTGTATAATTGGATGGCATACTTAGGATGAAATGAAATGAATTAGATCTACATGCATCCCAGATAGCTCTTGAAAACGATGTTGTGTTAAAAAACAAATTGCTGAGCAATATTTATAGTGATATTATTTATGTAAATAAAAACCATGCTAAAGATTTGCTATGGATGCATATACGTAAGTAAAAGTATTTTAAAAAAAATTACATTGCTACGTACCGAATAGGTAACAGTGGTTACCTGTGGGGAGAAGAGGAGGCCGAATCTGGGAGTGGAAGTCAAAGCAGATTTGTAGTTTTCTCTGTAATTTTTTTCGTTTCTTCTCGTTCTTCCTCTTTCTCTTTCTTCTTCTCCTCCTCCTTTTTTAGGGCTATGTATATATACCTACGTGAGTTATTTAAAAAAACAAAACAACAAAACAGTATATTCTTAGAAGACTGAAAGCAGTACAATCTTCTCCTTTTGAAAAACCTTATTCAGGACTAGTTTTCAAAGAAAAAGTAATTGTTACTAATGTTATTGGGGAAAATGTGTATGTGCTCCTAGGTAGGAGGGCCCTGGTGGTGCAGTGTTTAAGCATCTGGCTACTAACCAAAAGGTTGGTAGTTCAAATCCATCAGCTGCTCCTTGGAAACCCTATGGGGCAATTCTGCTCTGTTCTATACGGTTGCTATGAGGCGGAATTGACTGGAAGGCAACGGGTTTGTTTTTGTTTGTAATCCACTGCCGTGGAGTGGATTCCAACTCACAGCCACCCTATAGGACGGGGGTAGAACTGCCCCATAGGGTTTCCAAGGCTGTAAATCTTTACAGAAACAGACTGCCACACCTTTCTCCCGCTGAGAGGCTGGTGGGCTTAGCAGCCGAACGCTTTAACCACTGCACCACCAGCGTTCCTAATCCACTCTAAGACAGCACCAAAAACCATAAAGACGGGTACAATCACTTCAGTATTTAAAATCAGTTTGCATAACCTGTCTAACGAGGTGGCTTCCCATTATTAGCTGATTAAGTCCTTTTACGTGCTTTGTTTCCCCTCTTACGTACCTTCCAATAAAACTATGCTCTCAAACGAAATAAACATACTCGATGGTTATGTAGGCAACCCTGGTGGTGTAGTGGTTAAGTGCTATGGCTGGTAACCAAAAAGTTGGCAGTTCAAATCTGCTAGGCGCTTTTTGGAAACTGTACCGGGCACTATGAATCGGAATGGACTCGACGGTAAGGGGTTTGGTTTTTGTCTATGTTTATGCAGTTGCAACTTTAATGTGAAAGAAAAGTAAAGGCTAAACAAGTCCATGAAAACAATGCAAATGATGCATGAAGTTATCAGCACTACAAACCACCAAACTACTGGTAGGTGAGAGCACTGAACACACGCCAACCAGTAGAGGCGGTGACCTTGGGCTCCCGCGGCTCAGGGGACGAAATCGATAGGAAGAAATGCCTCCTCAAGTTAGGGGTACAAACATAAAGTCGAAATCTCGGATCCGAAATGGCGTATTTCGATGTAGGACACACACCAAAAATATTAACATTTTATCCTGGGTGGTAGGAATATAATCAATTCTTATTTCTTTTTCTGTAATTTTCAAATTTCCACTTTAAAAAAGGGGCTAGTCTGGGGCGTCAAGAGTCCAAGGTTTTAATTCTGCCACCAACTGTCTAGGTACCTTAGTCCAATCACATTCTCATTTGTGAAGCCGGGCTACAAGACACTACAAGTTAGAATTTCCAACACCTCCACTGGCTTTAAATTCTGTTATGCAATGATCCCGCCTCCCGCCGGCTCGCCGAGGCAAGTGTTTTGGCTCACTCGGCTCACCGTCCGCGCCGGCTTCCAAAAGCAATCCTAAGCTCCGCCCCCCGCGTTCAAGACGGCGCGAAAACCCAATTGACAAGAACTCTATGCAAAGCCCTTCGGTCCGGTCTATGTTCGGTTTCCTTTCCCCGCCCTGGCTCCAGTCCGGATCACTCAGTCTAGGTCGTCTGCCTGGGAGGTCACCCCGCGCCTACGGGCCGCGTCCCAAGTGCCTCGCCGCCCGCGCTTTATCACCGCCTCTTCCCGCGTTCGACTCGGCTGAGCTGGGCCCGGCCTCCGCGCCCGCTCCGGGCGGGTGGGCGCAGGGGAATCCGAGACGGACCCCGCGGCCCAACTTCGCGCTCCTCCAGGAGCAGACCGCCTCCATGGCCAACACGCTGGCCAGGCCGGTCCGCGCAAGGTCCTAGGAGCAGGGGTACCTGGAAGCGGGGAGCATGGTAGGGGTCCTTGCCATGGCGGCGACGGCTGCTCCCACTCCAGTGAAGGACTACGAGATCGAGGTGAGATCGAGTGTCTGTCGAGTTCTTTTCCTCCGGCTGATGGGAGATGGTTGGGAGGAAATCCCGACTTTGCATCTCTGAGGGGGAAGGGAGGAACACAGAGAGGCCCCAGAGTAATGACATTGTGTGGAACAATTGCTGGATTGTGTCGTTTCTCTCTCTCTTTTTTAATTGTTGTGCTTTAAGTGAAAGTTTACAATTCAGGTTAGTCTCTTATACAAACATTTATGCATACATTATTTTGTGACCCTAGTTGCTCTCCCTATACTGTGACAGCATGCTCCTGCTTTCCACCCCTGATTTCCCGTGTCCATTCAACCAGCTCCTGACTCTCTCTGTCTTCTCATCTCGCCTCTGGACAGGAGCTGCCCGTTTAGTCTCATGTACCTACTTGAGCTAAGAAGCGTACTCTTCACGAGTATCATTTTATGTCTCATAGTCCAGTCTAATCTTTGTCTGAAGAGTTGGCCTCAGGAATGGTTATAGTTTTGGGCTAACAGAGAGTCTGGGGACCATGTCTTCTGGTGTCCCTCCAGTCTCAATCAAACCATTGTCTGGTCTTTTTACTAGAATTTGAGTTCTGCACCCCATGTTTCTCCTGTTCCATCAGGGACTCTCTGTTGTGTTCCCTGTTAGGGCGGTCATTGTGGTAGTAGCCGGGCACCATCTAGTTCTTCTGGTCTCATGCTGATGAAGTCTCGCTCATGTGACCCTTTCTGTCTCTTGGGCTAATGCTTTCCTTTTGTCCATGGTCTTCATTCTCCTTTACTCCAGGTGAGTTGGGACCAATTGATGCATCTTAGATGGCCGCTCACTAGCTTTTAAGACCCCAGACGTGGAGTGTGTTGTTTCTTAGAGTTGTAATAAATCCTGGCAAACATTGAAATTGTGAGATGTTTAGAGAGTCACAGTAAGTCAGGACTTAAGATACCACGGCCAGTTCCTAGATCCTAAAATGTTGGTGGACTATGATGTTCTGAACTTGTGAGATGTCACAGAGGATCCCATGGTCAGGTTCTGGGTTCATGATACGAAATCCTAGAATTTTAAAGTTGAAAAAGATCTTTAAGTCCAACTAGTCTGTCCTACCTAGTCTAGGAATGCCACTTAGAGTGTCCCTGCTGGAATCAAACAAGGTACTTAATAAGGAAATCTATTACTCATGACCCTAGATCTTAATATACTGCAGTTGGAAGACCCATGTGGCATAATGATGTTCGTTCACCAAGTTTCAGTGAAATGCAGTAAGCATTCTTTATAAACCAAACCAAAAACCAAACCTATTGCCGTCGAGTTGATCCCGACTAATAGTGACCCTGTAGGACAAAGCAGAACTGCCCCATAGGGTTTCCAATGAGCAGCTGGTGGATTTAAACTGCTGACCTTTTGGTTAGCAGCCTAGCCCTTAACCACTATGCTACCAGGGCTCCAAGCATTCTTTATAATGAGACTCTAATACCAGAATTTTAAGATACATGTTACATTTTCACACCTTTTCATCTCATGCTGGCATTCAGACTGAAGTATGTGTTCTGGTGTCTTGAATGAGCCAAGATGTGTGCTCACTTAAGGGTGATACTTGTTTGCTAGGTCAGGGCAGTTACTCAGCTTGTCTAGGTATGAAGAAGGACTTCTGATACTTGAATTACACAGTTCTTGGCTTTCTGTATGGTCAGTTTTATCAGTCTTTGGGTTATGGTTTTTGCTTTTGGTGGCCTGCTTAGAAAGCCTATTTCATAATACTGATACTGACTGTTAAGTATGGTAAAGGGAAAGGCTTTATGAGCATTTTTTTGCTTAACGTCAACCCTGTAATGAAATATTATCTCCATTCTACAGACGAGAGAAGAAGGTTAAAAAATTTAATTTGTTTAAGGTCTCACAGTAGAAGATGTCAGAGCCAGCACTCAAACTTAGATCTGCCTGACTCCAGAGCACATAGTATAGTGCCTCTAATACCATCTCAGGGTTATATAAATACTCATCAGTATTTTCTTTTAAAACATTTATGATTTCATTTTAACATATATAATGTTAATCCAGCTGTAATTTATTTTGCCTCATATTTATCCAAATGGTTAGAAGTTGTCCCAATACCATTTATTAAATACTTCTTCTTTTGTCACTACCTTGAATGCTACTGTTACCATTTACCAAGTTCTTAATATATACTTGTGTCTGTCTCTGGTTTCCTAATCAATTCCATTGACCTGCCTACCTATTCCTGCACCAGTATTACACTTTTAACCATGATAGCTTTATAATACATTTTAATTTTCTGAAGCATAACTCCCCTATTCATTACTTACTTTTTAAAGAATTTCATTATTATTCTGCTAAGTTTATTCTAACTAATGAACTGAGGAAATTTAAAAAGACTGATGGTGCTTTTTGTAACCAATAAGGTAATATTTATTTTTGGTTATGTAAATTATTGATTTATGACCAATAAAAATATAAACATGCCTAACATTATAGTCATTTTGGTATTGTAAGGGTAATAACGAATGTAAGACAAAGGCAGTAATGGTTTTAATAGCAAATTAAAACACTAGACTATGGAACAGTTCTTTTGGTGAACTTTCACTATCCTTTCTACTTGATTAGTAAATTTTGGGATCCTAGGCTTGGTTACTATGTTCCTGCTTCTTAGCAATAGTTAGGAAAATGTGCTTATTTTAAACTAAATATAATAAAAAGGGAATGTAACTAATACTTGTAGGGTTCCTAGCATATGTCATATTTTTACATATATTACATATTTTTATGTAATGTATTCGTTACAATTCTTAAGGTGGAGGGTGCTATTTAAAGTTTATACAGTAAACAGAGACTGAGAAAAATTAGTAATTTGCTCGTAAGTGTAGTAGGCTTGGATTTTTTTAATGTAAACAATTTTTTAGTAACATACATATACAAGGAATCCCTGGGTGGCACAAATGGTTAAGCGCTTGACTACTAACTGAAAGGCTGGAGGTTCGAACCCACCCAAAGGCACCTTGGAAGAAAGGCCTGGTGATCTGCTTCCAAGATGTCATAGCCTTGGAGACTCTATGGAAGTGCATTTCTGCTCTGGAACACATGGGTCTCCATGAGTCAGAATCAACTCAATGGCAATTGGTTTGGTTTTTGTTTTATAATATATATATACAGTAAAGTACACAAATTCTAAGTGTAAATCATTGACACATTGAGATTTGAATATAGGTTTAATTTTAAAGTTCATATTCTTTCTGGTATATCATGTTTGTCACCTAAAGGAGCCTTCCTTTCTTTATCCAGTTACTTTAAATACACTAGACATGTGTCTAAAATTTATGTTTTGTATTATTTTTCTTGAAATAAGTGCTTTTTTTCCTTCTTTTAAATCTGTAGCCATGCAAAAAGCAAAGGAAGGATGATGACGGATCTTCCTATAGAACAATTACAAAATATTTATCACCAATAGGGAAGACTGGAGATAGAGTTTTCTCGCCACCAAAATCCAATAATATTCTGGATTATTTTAGAAAGACTTCATCCACAAATGAGAGGACTCAATCAATGAAAGAGTGTAAGATAAAGTCATCTGCACCGTTGCCTGTTGACAGTGGCAAGGATTATAAAACATCTTTGGAAATGTTCTCAAATGTAGAGTTTAAGAAGAGAGGAAAGAGAGTTAATTTATCACATCAGCTAAATAATATTAAAACTGGACATGAATCTCCAATTGAAATTAGTAGTGATGAGAGCAAAGGAGACTCTAGTTTAAATCATGACTTTGAAGAAAGTAGTACTTCTGTTTTACTCCACCAGAAACATGTAGAGGTACTTGCAGAAAGTATTCAAGATATCAAAAACCAGTCAAGCACTATGATCTGCAAACAAAATTCTAAGAAATTAAATCCTAAACAAGGCACCACAAAAAATGATTGCAAAAAAATAAGAAAAAGAAAGTACAGAGAAGTAATAGATCTCTCCGAAAGTTTATCCTTGGCAAAGGAACTAAATCTTAAAAAAGATGGTAAAGATAATAAACAGATAATATCTTCCCTAACTAATGAAGACAGTACTGCAAATAATGCAAACACTAGAGATAATGTAGCTAAAATAGCTCTGTTAAATGATAACACAATAACTGTCTCATATGAGGAATTTTTAAAAAGTCACAAGGAAAACAAAGTGGAACAGATACCAGACTCTACAATGGTAATGTCAGTTTGTGCTCCTGAAACTGTTGGAGAAATAGTCAAAAGTGGTTGTATAAGTGATACAGAAACCTGTGAAAATTCCCAGCAGGTACACTTTAAGACAGTGACGGTTCTTGCACAAGTTCACCCCGTGCCCCCCAGAAAGACAGGGAAAATACCCTCAATTTTCTTGAAACAAAAGCAAATTGAAATGGAAAATAGTCTCTCTGATACTGAGAGTGAACAGACAATTCAGAAAAGAAAATCTAACGTTGTTATACAGGAAGAAGAGTTAGAGTTGGCAGTGTTGGAAGCTGGGAGTTCTGAAGCTGTGAAACCAAAATGCACTCTAGAAGAAAGACAGCAGTTTATGAAAGCATTTAGGCAGCCAGCATCAGATGTACTTAAAAATGGAGTTAAGAAGTCTTCTGATAAGCAGAAAGACCTTAATGAAAAATCTTTACTTGAAGAAGGAAGAGAGAATAGTTCTAAAAACATCATGGAAAATCCTAATATCCAGATGATTTCAAATAATGGCAATTCACAGTCACACACTGATAAAGGAAGTTTTCCTAAGGAGAAAAGTAAAAAGCTAAAGCAAAAGGGTAAGAAAATATTAGATACTGGGGTTGCACTAGGTGAAAATGGAGAAGGAAATACTCAAAAGAAAGAAACAACCTCTTTCTTAAAAGAGAAACAAAATCAAAATAAAATTACAATGAGTTTAAGGCGAAAGAAAACAGAAGTTTTCAAAAGCAGCACATTATTTAACAGTAAAAGTCTTTTGTGTGAAGATATAGCAAAGGATGACCCTTTAAAGATTTCTTCTCTATTTAACAACAGTAAGTCATCAAGAAAAACCAGTATTCGCGTTAAGGATGTCAAAATTAGAGATTCTAAAGCTGAACCCAAAGACAACTTGGTAAATGTTTCCACACCCAAATCAACCAGAAGATCTGTAAGAGGTAGCAGTACACCTACCACAATAATCATTAGAGGTTCTGATTTTGAAGATTCAGAAGATAATAGTCCAATAAAGGCTTCCACTCCAAAAGCAGCCAACTTACCAGGAAAGCGTAACTTATATACAGCAGAACTAATAACGGTACCCTTTGATTCAGAGAGTCCTATTAGGTAAAGTTTTGTTTTTATTTTAAAATTCTATTATTCTATGTAAGTTCTAGTATTTTGTAATATTAGCAGGAAAGGAAAATATTTCAAGTGTTAAAGACTTATTTTTTCTAGAATATAACTGATTTATTTTGTAAGAAAAAGAGAACAGGGTTTCAAAATGCTCCTTGTTTTCCACATTTAATTTACAGTCGGGCATAATTTCAGAAGCATTCCAGATATATTTTAGTAAACTCTTATTCATGTAATTGCTAATTCCTGGAGGAATATCCTTCAAATGTGAATTCTGTGCATTTAATGAGCATGAGTGTGAAAATAAATCAGAAATCTATTTATTTCTTGGGTGAACTGAGCCACACACTATGTGGTGTATACTTGCATGCTGCTTCTAATAGAAGAGTCATCTTGGGGACTAATTTTCTGTAAAGCTTATTTTTAAGGGAAACATTTTATATTTTCCAAGGGTTTAACATTGAGTTTGGCTTACTTTTGAATCAGTAGTTTGAAACTGGAGTTTTTATTTCTGTTTTGGAATAGTCCAGAAATGGGAGCTCTAGTTGGTTCTTTTCTGTATTTGAGGTTCTTATACTTTATAATCAAGAAAATGTTCCTGAATACCTTTTCTTTTTTCAGAATGAAATTCACCAGAATTAGTACTCCCAAAAAATCTAAGAAAAGATGTGAGAAAAGATCTCAGAAATCTGAAGCAACTGATGGAGATTTTATTTCTCAGACTAGAAAGGTAATTGAAATATTAGTCCTATAAGTAGTATTCTATTTCCTTTAAACAACATCAACAAAAAGCTACTCTTTGGAAGTAATAAGCTGAAACAAGATTCACATATTTCATAAATTGGTTATGTTAACCACAATCCTAAATTGTTTTTCACTGTTATTCCATTCCTGTAGTTTATTAAAATATCCAGTTATTGTGAGATGAAAGCAATTGATAGGGTCAGAGTATAATTTACTTGGAAAAAGCTTTCTTAGAATTATATTCCAGTCACTTTTTCCTAAGGCTGCCTATAGGTGGTGATTGGATTTTTGGTTTATTTCTATAGATTAGGGGCTTAACCTTAGCACTATTGACATTTTCGGCTGTATAATTCTTTGTTGTGAGGGTCTGGGGCTGTTCCGTGCATTGTAGGATGTTTAGCAACTCTGGCCTCTACCCATGAGATGTCAGTAGTACCTCCAGCCCCTCAGTTACGATAATCAAAAATGTCTGCAGACATTGTCAAATGTCCCCCAAGAAGCAAAACCCCTCTGGTTGGAAACTACTGCCCTAGAGGGAGAGATGTGATATATAAGAATAATCTAGGTGCTTTTTCAAAGTGAGCTGCTTGTCACCACCATGGGAGGATCAGATTCTCTCTAGGGTAGGCAGGTAGGTACAGGTAGGTCTGTTTTGAAAAACCTACAAAGGTGATCGTAATATAATCCTTGGATGAAAACTATTGCTACGGAAAGGTGATAATCTCTTTTCATTTTTATTTAACAGGTATCTTTTTTTTTTTTAAACTGCTCACCATGTTCCAAACACTGTGCTTAGTACTTACATCATTAGTATCATAAAGTAGATTATTTAGTCTGCTTCCTAGATAAAGAAACTGCAATTCATGATGAGGAAGCATGCAGTTTGCGTGTGACTCGGGGAAGTGGTTTTCCCAGAGTCACAGAACAGTAAGTAGTTAGAAAGACAGCCCTTAGCCTGTTGGAAAGCACTCTAGAATCCAGCTGGTTGTACCACAGCTAAAGGTTAAAATCTCTAAGATGAACTTTATCCCATGTATTTTATTTAATTCTTAAGTATAGCTTCAACTTTAGTTTTAGGAATACTATTCCTTGGTTTGCCTTTAGAATTGCAATTCAGTGATAAGTTTTCCAGTAAGACAAATCTCAAAATTAAATGTATCCATATTGGGCCCTTATCAAATTTACTTAGATCAGCTATTTTATCTCATGCTATTAATCTATGAACCACTATTTGAAGCTTACCTAGGTTTATTTGCTAGCTCTAGCAGAGAACCTTGGTAATTTTCTGGGAGTTTTTTTCATGTTTCCATGAGAATGAATGGGTAGACTGGTTTTCCTAAGAGCCTCATATTCATAATAGCTCTTACAACAGAGATATTTTCAGAATGGTTTTCAGAATGGCTCTGGGTTCACTCTTTTATGCAAAAAAATACTAAGTGCCATGCTGTGTGCTAGATATTGGGAATACAGCTGTGAACAAGATATACACATGGTCTCTATTCTCATAGAGCTTCCATTCTTAAGGAGAAATCAGGCAAATAAACAGGAAATAACAGTGTATGTAATAAGAGCTATAATGAAGTAAGCACTGAGTACTCCAAGACCACATAAGTGGGATACCTGACTTCCCAGAGATGATAAGCTAGGATCTAAAAGGGTAGAAAGAGTTCCCAAGCAGAGGGAATACTGTGTGCAAAGGCTTTGAGGGCAATAGAGAGCATTTTTATTTTAGTTAAGTAGAGGCTAGATTGTTAGGATAGTAGACTTCATTCGAGAGCCAGGGGCAAGCCATTTTAAGTAGGAGGCATAACATGATTAGCCTTGAGTTTTAGAAATATTACTCTGAGGCTGGGAGACTAGTTAGGAGGCTTTTGGAGTAATCTGCATGAGATGTGCTTGTGTTCTAAAGGAAAGCAGTGAGAGGTGGCCAGTGGTTATTTAGGAGGTAGAATTGAGGAGCCTTGATGATAGACTTGATATGAAAGTCAGGGAGAGAAGTCAGGCATGATACCTGGGTTTCTGGCTTGGGTTTTTGTGTGGATGATGCCTTTCACTAAGATAGGAAGAAGGCTGGTTTGGGGGAAAGATGAGGAATTTGGTTTTGGACAAGTTGGATTTGACGTATCTATGGGATGCGCCGGTGGCACAGTGCTCAAGAGTTACGGCGAGCTACCGGTGCTAACCAAAAGGTCAGCAGTTCAAATCCACTGGCCGTTCCTTGGAAATCTTATGGGGCAGTTCTCTGTTTTATAGGGTTGCTATGAGTCTGAATTGACTTGACGGCAACAGGTTTGTTTTTTGTTTCTTTTTTTAATGGGATATTCAAGTGGAACCATCTAATTAGATTTGAGCCAGAGATAAAGCGGAAGGGTCATCAGCATGTTGATGGCAGTTGAAGCTGTGTGAATTAATGAAATCATGCAGAGAAAGCATGTTTGGTCAAAAGAAGATGTCCAAGGATAACCCTGGAGGAACTCCACAGCCTTTAAGGAATGAGCAGAAAAAGAGGACATGGGAAGGGTGACTGAACTGATAGATCCCTTGGAGAATGTGCTGTCATGGGAGTGTTTCATGGAGGGATTGGTCAATATTGTCAATATTGTTGTTGATAGCTGCCATGGAGTTGAATGATGACCTCATACAGAGAGACCTAGTGAGATAAGAATTGAAAAGTGTCTTGATTTTTGGCCACCTTGCCAAGTGCAGTTCAGTTGAGTATTGGGTACACAAGTGAGATTGTTTGCCTGCATTTAGGCAAGGAGGACAATTCGACTGACCCAGAATTGGGCTTTTCCCAGGTAGGTGTGGCAGAAGGGCAGTGGTACCAAGGGAGTTTAGAGTATTTTTAAGAGTGGTTGAAGTGATGGACAGTGGACTTTAAGCTGGGTAGGGGAAGACAGAGGCTAGTAAGTAGGGAGAACGTAGAGAGCTGTCAGAACCAAAGTTTCTGATGAAGTCAACAAATGTAGTCAGGATTAACCAAGTAAGAGGTGGGAGGATAGGCTGCTAGGTCAGAAAGTAGGATGTTGGAACTTACTATTTTAGGTGATGGGATTATGTATGATTTTAATTTTCTTTATTTTTCTATGTTATGATTTTCTATAAAAATGAAATTAAAAACTTATAGTCACAAAAAAGCTATAAAAAACAAAACAGGTTTTAATAGCAGAACTATTTGCCAAAATATGTGTATAGTTTTTTTTCTTTTAACAAGCAGTCGTTGAAACCATATCTCCTGATATAACAGTTTGTTTCAATGATTGAATTGTTAGTCTAAATTTAGGTGGATTATTTTGAATACTAATTTGCTGTTAGATTCATTAGCCTGCCAAAAACTTTGCTACCAGAACAACAAAAAATCTCAGTGTACTACTAATGGACCAACTCCTTGACATTCCTACCCTTCTCATGTATGCTTTGAATATTCATGCCTTTTCTTTTTAATGGTTTTAAAAATATTAATCATTTGTTTGGAAAAAAAACAGCAGAAGTGTGTAAAATTAAAAATGACAAATATTTTCATCTTCTCAGCACTATTGTCTTTGGGTAACCCACTTTTAATAGTTACGTGTTTATCCTTCCAGGCTGTTTTCTATGCTTAGATAGATAGATATGTATTTTTATTGTTGTAAACGATATGTTTAACACATTGGCTAATTCAGCATTTTTTACATGTACAATTCAGTGATACCAATTATATTAATCACATTGTGCAACTATCACCAGTATCCATTGCCAAGTTTTCCATCATCATAAGCAGATACTCAGTGCTTCCTAAACAATGAGATAGATACAATTTTTAAAAGGGGCCGTATAATGTAAATTGTTCTGCAGCTTGCTGTGCATGTGTGTTTTTAATCCCATCGTGAAAACCTGTAGAACTTAATATGGAAAGCACATTCTCTGAAAGATAATATTTAAATACTTTAGATCACAGGGTGCATCAGTGTGAGAACCAGGTCTGAAGGCCATTTTTATTCTTATCTATGCTCTTTTTTAAAACCACACATAACCTTTTCTACCTCCCCACAATAGATTCAGCCTAAAGTACTCTCTCTCTAACCTAAATTTCTATGGTGTAATCTCACATATATACACACAATAATAATGTATACCATATAGTTTTATTATACCTATCTGTTCCTAGTCTTTCTTCTCTATTACTTATAAGTTCCTTGAGGCCCAGATCTACATATTATAATATTGTTGGTCCTTTTTTTTTTTTTTTTTTTTTTTACAGTTTCCAAGTCAGAGCCTTGCACATAGTAGACTGTTTATTCATATTTAGAAAGTACTTCACCTAAATTTGGTGACTAAAATCAAAGATTAGATGCTACGGTGATGGTAGAAAAATACCCAACAATTTTAATAAACTACTTCTACAAACATACTTCTGGGTGTTTTCCACACAGGTAGTATTTATCTGGATGAATTTCAAGTAAGAAATAAAAGCAAACCAAGTATAACTGGACACATTTTAATTAAAGTTCCCTAATAAGTCTTAAATAATCATTTCTCGGTCTTTTATTTAATGTGATTTGTGATTAGTTTTTTTTTTTCTGTTGTTAAGTAGAAAATGTTTACCAGTGATCTAAATTAATATTTCACATTTTTGTCTAGGCAAGTAATGCTTCAAAAAACATATCAAAAGCAAAACAATTGATTGAAAAAGCAAAAGCTATACACATTAGTAGGTCAAAGGCTACTGATGAAATAACTCCTTTAAGGCGTTCCTCTAGACATCAGGCGCTTACTGAACGGAAGAAATTGTCAGAAACAGAAGTAAGTATTACACGTGTTTATTGGTTTAAGTTCTTTCCTATTCTGTTGTTTGGAGTGAGAGAAGGAAACCACTGTAATGTTATAAAGGTAGCATTGTGAGGTAGCCTCAAGGTGATAGAAAAGAATATTATTTAAAGTTCTGCCTTAAAAGACTTTGGCTCTTTATTGCCTACACAATACAGTTCAAATCCTTATCAAGTCATTTAAGATTCTTCATAGGCTGAACCCTTCCCTCTCCTCAAAACAATGTACTTCTCCATACACACTCTTTGCTGTAGTCACACTAAGTTATGCATTTCTCCCCACATGATGTAATTTTCACTTTGTAGTCTCAGTCTGAAATATCTATTCTGGGTACTCTCTTCTCCCTGAGGAATATGCTTCTCAAGCTTTAAGATTCTAGTAAGTCCCTGGGTGGTGCAAATGGTTAACACAGTCAGAGGCATCTTGGAAGAAAGGCCTGATGGTCTATTTCTGAAAAATCAGCCTTTGAAAACCCTGTGGAGGACAGTTCTACTCTGACACACATGGGGTCACCATGAATCGGAATTGACTTAATGGCAGCTGGTTTTTTTAAGTGCGACCACCTTCTCCCGACAGCTATGCTGATGCCTTCAGGCCAGACAGTTTCCTTTACTATATGTACTTTCATGCTTTTTTGTCCTTTAGTCAGTACTGCTGTCACCACACTGTGTTATAACTAGTTAAACTCTCTACTCCTGGACTAGCTAGCCCTTTCTGGGTCCTGCAAATTCCGTAGTAACCTTGAAGCCAATTCTTGAGTTTTACTTGTCTGTGAATTGCCAGCACCTGCTGTATTGCCTGATACATGGTGGGCACTCAATAAACGTATGCTGACCACATGAAAACAGCAGACGTCATCTAATCCATTTCTAGGCTATACAGTTAGTTCTGGAGCCCCGGTGGCACAGTGGTTAAGAGCTCAGCTTTTATGTGCCCATGTCTTCTCTTCCCAAAAGAAAAGTAAATTCTTTAAGTGCATGAACCATGCACGGTGGTTAAGAGCTACAGCTGCTAACCAAAAGGCCGTCCGTTCAAATCTACCAGCTGTTCCTTGGAAACCCTATGGGGCAGTTCTATTCTGTCCTGTAGGGTCGCTATGAGTCGAAATTGACTTGGCGGCAGTGGTTTTGGTTTTGGTTTTTATAGTTAGTTCTGAAAGAATAGCCAGAATTTCTGTGTTGTTGTCACGTGCCATTGAGTTGGTTCCGACTCATAGCAACCCCATGTACAGCAGAACGAAACACTGCCCGGTCCTGCGTCAGTCTCACAATCGTTGTTATGCTTGAGCCCATAGTTGCAGCCACTGTGTCAATCCATCTCGTTGACAGTCTTCCTGTTTTTCGCTGACACGCTACTTTACCAAGCATGATGTCCTTCTCCAGGGACTGATTCCTCCTCATAACATGTCCAGAGTATATGAGACGTAGTCTCGCCATCCTTGCTTCTAAAGAACATTCTGGCTGTACTTCTTCAAAGACAGATTTCTATACAGAAATTCTATAGTTTGGTTATATTAATTATTTTATCTGGAATATAGTCTACTAATTAATTCTTTAAAAAAGAAAGCCCACAGTTATAATAAACCCACATCACATAAACTTGTATGATGTAAGTATAGACTACCTTTCACATCATGTGTTTTCTGTTTCAGTCAGATAATGTCTCATGAGGAGGTGTATGGAGTTGCTAATTTAATGGTATTGTCTGTATATCTTATGACATTAAATATATAATACATTTTTTAAATTTTTCTCTTATTTTGTCTTAGGACTCTGTAATAATAATAGATTCAAGTCCTACTTCTTTAAAGCAGCCTGAGAAAAATCAGAAGAAACTTAAGTGTTTGAATGATGTGCTAGGAAGAAACCTTAACCAGTCACCTAAAAATGTACCTGGTAATCAGATTTAATAAGATTTTTGACAGAAATTTGAATGTTTTTTTGCGGGGGGATTCTATTGTTATCGTTCTGGTTGCTTTTGTGATACAAATTTAATCTCTTGCCTTAGAAAATAAAAATTTTAATTACATTAAATAGTATTTCTGTTTTAATAAGTAAAGTTATAGTGTAGTGAAGAGTTTTTTTTAAAAGAGAAACTAACATATTTTAATTTATTTCATTTCCATGTTCCTATTTAGTGTTACTAAATTAGTAGTTCCCAGATCTGTCTGATCATCGAAGTCATCTGGGTAAATTTTAAGTCTTTATATCTTTAAGTCTTCCCTAGACATCTTGAATAAGAATCTTCAGAGGTGTGTTGTGGGACTCTGTAGTTGTAAAAAAAACATTCCTCAGGAGATTCTGATGTTGTTGGGTTGAACCAGATCATTATGTAAAAAATATTTAATTAAAAAAAAAATGAAAGCGTTAATTTAAAAAACTGAAAGATAATTTTGAAAGTAGCTGGAGGTAAGTGGAGATTGAAAACACTGATACTAACCTAAGCATTCGTTTTTCTAAGGAAAAATGAAAGTCGCGCCTTTATTTCTTGCCAGAAAAGCTCAAAAAACAGCTGATCCTATCCTTGGATTCGATGAAAGCAGGTTAGTCCAATACAAATTTTAAATTACCAAAGTATTGTATGGACTGTATTTTGTATTTATTTGTTTACTTTGATGAGCAAACTGGTAATTATCACTTGAAGCTTTAATAAGTTCAGAAGATAACAATGTTGACAATGTTCCAACTGCTATTTGAAGATCTTCTTTTTCTGCAAAATTGTGCCCATCTCGAGACAAAAGCAGAATAATAAACGAACCAAAAAAAAAAAAAACCTCAAAGAGCTGGTTATGAATTTCATTCACTCAAATATTTAAACACCTGCTATGCTCCAGACACTGTTTTTTATATAGGGATTATTATGGGGAACAAAGTAAGACACATTGCCTATCCTCATAGGGCTTGTAGTCTAGAGAGGGAAGACAATACGTGAATATTTATCAGGCCAGCAAATGAAGAATTGCTAAAGAGAGGTATAAAGTTCTATGAGAGTTTATATTAAGGAGATTTGGTCTGATCAGGAAAGCTTCCCTGAGACTTGAAGTGAAATCTGAAGGATGAGCAAGGGTTAACCAGGCAGAGGAAAGGTGTTCCAGCCAGAGTGAGCAGTCTGTGCGAAGATCCTGAATAGGTAGAAGGAGCATAGTAAATGCAAAAGACTGGAAGAATGCCAGTGTGACGAGTGGAGAGAGCAAGGATGAAAGGAATGTGAGATTAAGCTGGAGAGGTGGGTGCCAGACAACATAGGATCTTTTAAAGAATTTTGTCCTTAAGTTAAGAGTAATGAGAAGCTGTCAAAGTGCTTTAAGCATGAGTATAGACATAAACAGATTTGGATTTTGAAAATTTAACCTGGCTGTTGAATGAGTCTGGCTACTGTATAAAGAATGGATTGGAGGAGGAGTTCAAATGGATGTTAAGAATCCAGTCATGAGTTGATGGAGGTGTAGAATAGGGTGTTGGAGATGATGTAAAGATATTTAGGAGATAATTAAAAAACCCTTGGTGATTAATTAAATGGGGTAAGGAGGTGGTAAGGGAGAGGAAGGTGTTAGGAGGGCACCAGAATGTCTACTTTATGCAACTGAATGGCACAGTAAAAGACTAGATAGGGACAACATCATGAGTTCAAGGTTGGTTTTTTTCTTCTCCTGTTTTTGCTTTATTGAGAGTACAATTATATATTGTTAAATGCACAGATATTAAGTGTCCAGTTTTGACAAGTGAGCCTAAATTAAGATACAAAATTAATGTTTTACCCCAGAAAGTTTACTTGTACTTCTTTTCTGTTACTCCCTTTCACAACCATCTCACCAATAGACTAGCACTATTCTGATTTCTATTACTGTAGATTTGTTATTTTGTTCTAGAACTTCACATAAATGGAATATACAGTATTTACTCTGTTGTGTCTGGCTTCTTCCACTCAGCATAATGATTTTGAGACTTATTCATGTTGTCAAGTATATCAGTAGTTCATTGTTGTTTTTTTTTGCTGAGTAGTATTCCATTATATGGATATACCACATTTTGTCTATACATTGATCAGTTGATACACATTTGAGTTGTTTCCAATTTTAAGCTATTATGAATAAAGCTGTTAGGAGCATTCATATATAAGTTTTTATGTGGATATGTATTTTCATTTCTGTTGGGTAACTATCTAAAAGTCAGAACAGACAACTTTGAAAATGTTGGCTCTAAAGAGAAGAAAAGGTAGTCACTAGAGAGGCATGAAAATCAAATCAGGATTTTTTAACTTAATGAGAGAGACTTGATTGTGTTTAAAAGTCACAGAGAAGGACTGAGGAGAAGTTGAATACATGAGAGAAAGAATGATTGATGGCTTTAAGGTTTGTGGGAAGGTTACTTGGGCTGAGTTCCAAAATCATTTTGGGGGAATTAGTCTTTATTGGTCAGTGCCCATGGAAGCAGCAGTCAAGAAATCAAACGACATATTGCATTGGGCAAATCTGCTGCAAAAGACCTCTTTAAAGTTGTAAAAAAGCAAAGATGTTACTTTGATGGTGAAGGTGCATCTGACCCAAGCCATGGTCTTTTCAATCGCCTCATATACACGTGAAAGCTGGACAATGAAAAAAGGAAGACGGAACGATTAATGCATTCAGACTGTGTTGTTGGCAAAGAATATTGAATATACCTTGAACTGCCAGAAGAACGAACAAATCAGTCTTAGAAGAAACAACTGAAATGCTCCTTAGAAGCAAGGACGGTGAGATTTCATTTTCCTTACTTTGGACCCGTCATCAGGAAAGACCAATCGCTAAAAAAGGTCATTATGTTTGGTAAAGTAGAGGGTCAGCGAAAACGAGGGAAACCCTCAATGAGATGGACTGACACAGTAGCCACCACAATGGACTGAAACATGCCAATGATCATGAAGATGGTGCAGGACCGGGCAACATTTTGTTCTGTTATACATAAGGTCACCATGAGTCAGAGCCGACTCGACAGAAACTAACAACAACAAGTCTTTATTGGACGAAGTGCAGCTTCTCTATTTTAAGAGGAAAGAAAGGAGGACAGAATGGTGAAGTAATAGATTTGTGTGTTTTTGTGTAAGGAAGTTGAGGAAATTCCCATCTGATACCTCTTTTCTCTATAATGTAAGATCTGAGGTTATCTGTTAAAGGTGAGGAGGTAGGATTGGGCAGGGTCTGAGTTTGAAGAGAATGAAGGAGGTTAATGCAGGATTGTTGACTTTGAGGGTCCATTTGTACTGATACTGAATTTATGGTGGAACCAGCGTGCCCAGTTGTGTCTTTACCTGCTCCCGTGTACATGCAAAGAAAACAGAATGTTTGATGATTTTTGACAGGCAGGTGCCACAAAAAGCAAATCAAGGTAGTTAAATAGGTTGTCAGGAGTGTTATTTAATGATGGAGCATGGAATCTAAGCTGAGTAAGGAGGGAAGTTAATAAAGGAAAGTGTTGATGGATAGAAGATGATAGAGTTATTAGTGGATTAGCAGTCCTAAGGAGGTTGAAGAGCTTGGCAGTGGAGAAATTATACATCAGCCTGGGTAGCCTGTTTTTCTTTCCTAGTAGCTTGAATTCTGTATTTTAAAAAAAGAGTAATAAAACATTGTAATGCTCATGTTGTTGAATGCCAACCTGAAGTGGGGAGCATATCTGCTTGGTTACACTATTATCTTATCTGCATTTGCTTTACCTAGCTGAATTTTTTTTTGTTTTTTTTTTAACCAAAGACAATCCTTTATTACAACTATTAGTTTATGATTGCATGGGAACATTTTAGGACAAATTAGAATTTACAGCTTTTTTAGCTTTAAGAACTTGGCCCTGCCAAAGTTAAATATTAAAACGTGAAGAATATCTTCTTGGGCAGCTTGGCTTGTAAATGTGCCTGTCCTGGAAAAAAGCTGCCAAATAAGTTTCTTGGTTCTAATACTCAACAAGTTGAGCAGGTTTCCAAGTTATTAGATCAAATGCCAGGGTTTTCTGAGTCCAAATTCATGGTAGCCCCAGGTTCCTGGAGTTCAAATGTTGTCCCTGCTGCAGCTGATCATCCTCTGAGGACAGGGCCTCCCAGGCTGAGCTGGGGTTGCCAGCTCTAAAACTCTTGTACTTCAGGTCCCATTCTCTAGCACTCAGTTGTCAATCCTTGTGATAGACGAACTCCAATACTCAGGTCAATTTTTTTTTTTTAATATTTTTTATATTATTGTTGTACTTTAAGTGAAAGTTTACAATTCAAGTTAGTCTGTCATACAAAAATTTATACATATTGTTATGTGATCCCAGTTGCTCTCCCTATACTGTGACAGCACGCTCCTTCTTTCTGCCCCTGGTTTCCCATGTCCATTCAACCAGCTCCTGACCCTGTCTGCCTTCTTATCTCACCTCCGGACAGGACCTGCCCGTTTAGTCTCATGTATCTACTTGAACTAAGTAGCACACTCTTCACGAGTATCATTTTATGTCCCATAGTCCAGTCTAATCTTTGTCTGAAGAGTTGGCCTTGGGAATGGTTTTAGTTCTATGTTGACAGAGAGTCCAGGGGCCATGCTTTCTGGGGTTCCTCCAGTCTCAGTCAGACCATTAAGTCTAGAATTTGAGTTCTGTACCCCACTTTTCTTCTTCTCCATCAGGGACTCTGTGTTGTGTTCCCTGTCAGGGCGGTCATTGGTGGTAGCTGGGTACCATCTAGTTCTTCTGGTCTCAGGCTGATGAAGTCTCTGGTTTATGTGGCCC